AAGCAGCAGTTACTGGATTGGACTGACTGACAGTGCGGAGGAGGGAGTTTGGCGCTGGGTGGACGGCACTGGTCTGAAGCAGGGGTATGAAATCTGCCAGCGACAGTCCCAGGGGAAGCTGGGGGTTAAAGACTTTGCTCAAGAGCTGACAGACATGCATCAAGAGCCTGAACCAGCGATCTTCCAATCACATACAGAGAGACTGAGCTCACTGAGCCACTCACGCTTCTGCAGTAATAGCTGTGTCCCTCGACCTACTATTAAAACTGGAGTGAAAAACTTGCCCAAACTAAGGTTTACCCAACCTATTGTGATTACATATCGTCAAATGTGCTTCTTATGAACTTTACATTGACCTCTTTGTACATACAGTATGTAACAGTGAAAAGCACGGATAATTTCTGTATATACAACAGGCACACAGGTGCAGTAATCACAGGCATAAAAATCATACAGAAATCTCCTTGTGACACAGTCGTGTTTTAGTTACAGTAGTTCAACCAAGGAGACCTCAATAGATAGTTTTGACATTAGTGTTTATTCGTTGAAACAATTTCAATAATTATGTGAACAGTGATTTGGCGAAGCCCGTCTCTTGGTCGTTGGTTCCATCGACTCTGAAGCTGACATATCTGGCTGGGCGACCAGGCAGGAGGCGAAGGAGGCAACTCCGGGCCAGGATGGGGAGCCGAAGGAGGTGGAGGGGAGGAGGAGGGAAAACCGAATAGCTGTAACGGCAAAGAAGTGGGTTAGACTTACTCTTTAAATAAAACCTGGAGCGATGCAATTTTCAATACGCTTGCATTCATTACGTCTCCTTGTTTGAACTTTCGTATTCACATTCATTTCTGTCTTTCCCTGGTACAATGCCTTTTCTGACCATCTTCTGCTACCATGATCTCCCCCACTTCCTCTTTCCATTTCCGTGGACAAACTGCAGATTTAGCTTTTTAGCGTTTATTCAGCATGTGATCAGTCTCTGAGATCATTATAAGGCAGAAAGTCAGATAGTTCTGTGGGGAAAAAACTGCAGAAAGAATTATTTTTTCTTTTTTGCACATTCTTGTATCAAATAGACACAATAGTCAAATTTAATGTCAGAAATGGTTAGCTCTGTTGTCAATTATTGGAGTGTAAATCATCTGGATGATGGTGAGTATTTGTAGGCATTTTATTTAAAGTGATTAGAGAAATGCATGAATACACACTTAATAGATCTCTGTGCTTTTGTAACAGGAAATGATGTGATTGCCATTGCTCATTTATTAGATTGTATCATGTATTTATTAGAATCTTGGCATTTCTGATGTGTGACCATAAGCAGTTCTATATCTCTTGCTCCCACAACTGACTTGTCTTTGTTACTGGTCAACCACTGGAAGCTTAGCCTAGCAGCACTTGTACGAAAATGAGCTCTCTGGCAGCTGTTTCCTTGTTGTATTATCTGCTTCAGTTTAATGTTGTTTTTAGCAATAGTCAGCAAAATACAGAGTTCTGAATGTAAAAGTCGTAGCCATGGTGACTTAATTAGCAAGTGGAGTATCTTGTTTTTATTCCCATCAGGGACAAAAGATAAGACCAGATCAAGCTCCAATCCCTGTGGATTGATTTCAGGGGGTCTAGGGCTGCTGTGTTTCCTCCAATTCGCTGTCATCATAGTCCTGAGCATTTACTGTGAGTATGACTGTATATTACTCAGTATTGTGTAATTCACTCTTAGTACCTGAATGTTTGCTCTAGTAAATGTAATCAAATAAACTGGTTTGTGTTTGGGAAACTGGGGGCACCAACTCGACATAGAATTATTCTATATAAATGATGCAAGAATGTATTACATCATACCCATGTAAACTGCCTTGGGGTGATCCTTTGTGAAAGGCGCTATATAAAAATTGCTTGAATTTAATAGAGGAACATAGTTATTCAAAACAATGAAAATATACATCAGTATCTGTGTATACCGAGTTAATGAGAAATTTATATGAATGCATGGCCTGTAACTGTATATTTGTATATATCTATTTATTGATTGTGTGAGGTGTATTGACTGAATGAAACTTGTTCAGTAAAGGAAGGTAATCTGAAGCACCATTAGGCATGATGTGGTGTCCAGGCAGAGAATGAGCAGCTACAGGAAGATTCAGACAATATTAGTGTTATATGGATGTGTAACTTGTATTCATATGTTTTAATTTAATAATTGTTAAAACTAGTATCAGACACCAAATAACCCCAAATATTTTCAGTGATGGGAGTTAAGCCCAAACAGGACAACGATGACTGCAGCATCCTGGCTAAAGAGAAGGAGCAGCTTCTCCTCAAACTTAACAACATGACTCAACTACAGGAACAAAACAACCAGCTACAGAATAGTTATACAAAGTTAGAGGAGACAAAGAATAAATTGGTCATGGACAAGAATTATTTTCAGCAACAATGTGTCAGTTTGCAAAAAGATAAGGATGAAATACAAAATAACTATGATGCTCTGTTAAGTAAATTACCCCTCCTTCAGAAGTACTGCCACACCACTGAAAAAGGTAAATGTACACTTTACCTCTCAACTTAACTTACATATTTCAATGAAAATATGACTTTCTCATTCTCACTGATTCCTTCAGCCATTTTAGACAGAGTGAGTGTTTCTTGTGTCTTTGCAGGGCGAGTCTGTGATCCCTGTCCTCAGGGCTGGGAGAAGCACAACTCCAAGTGTTACTATTTCTCTACAAGTGTAACGACCTGGAATGAAAGTCAGAATAACTGCA